TCAACAAGAGCAGCAGAGTGCTAGAATCAGGTACCTTTAATATTTTTTCAGACCATCTGTACTTTACACTTTTTTTTTAAAAAATATCACATATTAACTAATTAAAATTTATATTAACATAAGAAATGAGGCTAAAAGAGATTGACAAAAAATGTATAATGTCTGTAAGTAGTATGTAAGAAATGTTATAAAATTCTACCTATGTTTACAATTACACAATATGCCTCTCTAATAACATTTCAGAAGACATATTCCACAAAACACTGTAATTTCTCGAGAAATTACAGAGACCGCTCTTACAAAAAGAGAGACTATGGTCAAACAAATTTGGGAAACACTGAAGTCAAAAACTGAATTAAAACTTCATTACAGATGCATCTGATTCTAAATTCAGAGCACGTATTTTGATGAGAATATTCTATACAGCTGAATCTGAATGTCTAGTGAGATTATATGTCTACATTTAATGCAGTCATTGTTTAGAAATGAGCACCTGAAAAAGTTCCTACACCTCCTTAAGCCTCCCCTCTCATCAGAAGAGAGAAACGAGCTTCTGAGGCTGCTGCCTGGTCTGTGTAAGCCAGTGACAGCACCTGGCGCTATTCTTAGCGGCCCCAGAGTGGCCATACAAGCCCTTGAGTGCACATTCCTTCATTCCGAGCAAAGAGCTTTAATGAGAATTGCTGAGTCTCACTGGAAATTTCCAGAAGACACGTCATTTGACTGCCCTGGCTTTAATCAACTGTACACATTTCACCCATCAACATTTTTGGCCAGGGGGTTGGGATGGGAACAGAAACACAAGCATGGCTACTTAGTCCCCACCTGCTATGACAGAGGCGGTCTCAGAGAAGAGTTAATGGATGTGCATAAGACAAATCTCCAGAGTGTCGCTTTACTAAAAACTGTCACTCCACAATAATTTATCGAGTATCTAATTATGGACAAAACACTCTTCTCTTGCAATGACTTAACATGTTTTCATTGCTACACTGGAAACTGACTGACTGCCATCTCCGCTCTTTGAAGGTGAGCCATTCCCTCTAGCATGTGACATTTTCCCCACAGCCTGTCACGTGGCCCCATGCAGTCCTCTGCTACCTCTACTGAAAAACTACAAATAATCAATTACTTTCTTTTTTACAAAATTACTCCTCTAGCATCTCTAATCTGCTCAAGTATATAGTTTTCTATCAAAAGACTAATAGACAGAAAATTTCAAAATATATTTTCTGAAAAACTACAAATAATCAATTACTTTCTTTTTTGCAAAATTACTCCTCTAGCATCTCTAATCTGCTCAGGTATATAGTTTTCTATCAAAAGACTAATAGAAGAATTTCAAAATATATTTTCACTTTTTAAAAAATATCACATATTAACTAATTAAAATTTATTAAAATTTTAGAGAAGAAAAAGCTTAGAGAAATTTTACAATATATACTCACATTGACTTGATAAAGTTTAGAGTACTCAATATTCAAGTTCTAATATTTCTGAGGTTGATATCACTCTTAGAAATGGTTTATAATTAGAAAACATTCCACCATAGAATAAAATACAGGCTTTCGTTTTAAATTTTGACTGCTTTTTGGCATTTGACCTTAGGCAAATTACTCAACCTCCCTGAGCCTTAGTTTCCTCATCTACAAAATGGGACTAAAACTCATTAAATGTATGTAAACTACTTAGAATAACGCATGATACAAAGTACACCCTACAAATCAAAACAACTATCCATCAGAACTGGGTTCCACTTGCGGACGCCCAGTTACCATACACTCAGTATCAGAGACGGGGCTGTGGCTGGCCTGCAGAGGGTCAGCGCTGCCATACACTGGCAGGAATGGACAAGCTTTCCAAGCTGTGACCATGTCTCTCACGAAGCCTGACGGCAGTTCCTGCTCTGGATGCCCGAAGGTTACCCAGTACTGTTCTCTCGGGTATTTCTATTCAACAATCAATGCCGCCATGCCCATTAATAGCTAATGCTGAAGAAGTATCGACCCAAGAGAAGAAAAATGAAAGTGGCATATTCACTCCCTTGCTTCAAACCAGCAGCTTAGAATAACAGAGTACTACTGCCTATCTTCCCCAAAGAATTAAAAACACATAATAGGGTTTATTTTCTCTATTTACAAATCTTTTTATGGGGTGGGGGGGGGACACAGAGGGAGAGGCGTCGATGCCTTTCATCTACTACCTAAACGAAACATTTATTCCTTTCTCAGATACTTTCTTCCACGTCCTACTCTGTGCCAGGTCCTCATTAAACACCAGTGAAATAGTCATAAAATAGACAGGCTTTACCCTGAGTTTATCAGTCCAGTGAAGAATACAGATCAGCAAACAGCATTTCCATCATAATATTTAGGGCAATCAGTAAATTAAGATTTATTTTCTAGCTTTCCCTGCATTTACATAATTGAAAATTTCAGAAAAGCTGAAAGCCAAATGGCTTTTCCTTTGAAACACCTGAAATACACCTCAATCAGCCTTATTACTCATATCAATACTTCTTTTTGTCTCCATTTGCTTGTCATGGCCTTTCTCAAAATAATAAGCCAACCAACAAGTGATAGTATTTTCCATTTTTGACTTTACTTTTATTAACATTTTTAAGAGCTGAATGAATAAACTACAGCATAAACCAAGGTGATCTGGTTTATTTATTATGTGCAGTAGATATAAATTAAGATTACGGAAGACATTCTATTGGTATTATAAATCTTTAAATTCTTCACGGAATCCACATACCATAATATCGAACAGATGGTAGCCATTCAAATTAACCTGAAATGCCCTAAGTATGTTCATCTGTAGCTTTTAATAAAACTAAAAATGTAATCTGTGGCCAAATTTTGGTGTCTTATTTTAATATTGTTTTCTTGCATGTATATGTATAATCTGTAAGCTTTTCTTAAAATTTCAGTAGACAGCAGTACAAACTAATAAATAAAACGTATGAAGCGCTTCTACCTGTGGTTAAGACCGACGCAGACAAGACAGAAGAATATGGACACATCAAGCGCCACAGAAGCAAAACAGAAAAGTCAGGAGAATATGGGATATTCAAAGGTCAGAAAACGAGGAAGCATTGTCGTTTCCAAAGCCTGAAAGCCTGCAGCAATCCCATCATACATCTGAGTTTAAACCTAAAATGTACCACCTAATACTGTTAACGTAAACTTATTAAGAACCATTAACTGGTCACTTACTATGCTGCCAAAACACTGTTCGAAGTGCTTTACAACTAATTTAACCCTCATAAACACCACTTAAGAGTCCCATTTTATATACCACAGAGATTAATTTGTCCAAAGTCACAATGCTGCTAAGTGACAGAACCAAGACTCGAACCTTAGCAATCCGTCACAGAGCTCACTTCCCTAACCACTCTACCCTCCTGCCAAAGACAGCAGGACGTCCTTCAGGATGCAAGTCCAAGCCCCAGAGGAGACAGCACCTGTGAGGTCTGCACGCTCCCAGGCTCTCCCTTCAGCAACTACGGGGTGCGAGGGGAGGGAGGGCCTCCCGCCACAGAATTCCCAGAAGCCGAGCAGAGGGAAAGACGTGATTTGTTAACTGATAACTTGTTTCATGGATGGCTGCTAATCTTTTGGTGAAGATTTATTTGTCCTTCAGTTGTCAAGATTTCATCTCATTGCCCTCGGGCTATGAAATTAGCACTACATGGTGGCGATGCAACCCTAAGTGCCAACGTGGGGATCCAAACTGCATGACATCACGAGATTGCCACTCAGCTGATTCAGAATCTAGAATCTTAATGTTTAAGATACCAAAAAAAAAATGTTTTAAATACAGTACCTAAATACACCCGAGGGGAACTCACATGCTTACCTCAAAGTTTCTTTAAACCCAGATGACAAGAAGAACAAGTTACAGTAAGATTAAAAGATAAGCAATACCAATGAGGACCTTTTACCCCAACTTCTTAGCTACTAAGTCATTATTTGTCTGTAGGGAGAGAACATGATTACGATCCAGTTAGCTTATGGAAGGGCTTAAATGAATATGGTGGGAAGCTCAGAAAAGCACAAGAGAATGAAGTCAGAATACCTTTTAGATCTGGTGTTCATTCCACGATCTCCACAAAGCGATTCAATGCTCATGCTCCAACATAAACTGACCACAGGTCTATCATCTGATAGTCCTTTCAAGGCAATATATTAAACAAACAAGCAAACAAGCACACACACACCTTCCTTACAATGAGCTGAATCTTTGGCAATAAAAATCTAGGTTTTTTGGTTTTTTTTTTTAATTCAGTCAAACATTTTTTTCCAGAAATAGAAATTCCAAAGGATTTTGCCTCACAGAATCACTGGATTAAAAAAAAAAAAAAAATCTAGGCAAATAAAACTTTCTAAAAACAATATTTAAACTAGTTAGATCTTTATTAAACTAGCAAAACAAGAACTGGTAATAGAAAAACAAAACAGAAACAATACAGTTTAAAGTAAAATATCTAGAAAATTTATGATCAACACAAAATATTGATGAAATAAAAAATGAGTCTCCTATGTCTAGTGTTAATTGAGCCTTCTTTTTTCTGCTTACTAACTCTAAATGATGTGACATAAATCCAAAGTTACTCATTAGACTGTTCTCATTCAAATCTTATCAAAAGAAACATTTTAGATTTTTCAAATTTTAGTTACATAGTTTTATATATACAACATTAGAGTCTAATTCCCAAACTGGCAGCTTCTCAAGTGTAAATACCAAAGTTAGGTAACATGATAGACTGAGTGATACCTTAGCTGGCTAAATTAAAAATAATGATAATTATTAACAAGTTAAATCATGACAATACCTTTAAGATGTTCAAAAGTTTCTAACATGAAATAATGCACACTGCTTTATGAAGGAGAGATCTGGATATTTTATTAGAATGCCAAAGTTTTAAAAATTTTTGGACAAAAGAAAAAGAATGCAAAAGTTTAAGTAAATTAATGCCCCCATTTTTAAGGACTTACCTTCTTTTTATCCCTCATTGAGCCTTTCCCTCGGACCATTATTTTACATCCTGTTTCTGCTTCAAGCTGTTTAGCTGTAAGTCCTCTAGGTCCAAGGATTCTCCCAACAAAATTAAACTGGAAAAAAAAAAAAAAAAGTCACCATATGTTACTCACTTGCTTGAATTTACAGGTCTTAAAATTATTTTAAAATATATGTTTACTTTCTTAAATTAAATATTTTTTATAGTATATTGAAATAAAATCAAGGGTCCTTATGAATTTCTTTCCAAGTTTGGGGAGGTATAATTAAAACAGCTCATTGTTTAGCATGAAATTTTGATACGTATAAATACAAATTATGAATTAGAAACAATACAATCTACCTAAAATAGGTACTATACTGAATCGTCCATCAACATGTAATCTAAACAGAATCCTGGATGCCAGCCAAGAACACAAATCTCTTCTACAAAACTTTTTGTAATGACAGTGTTGAGGGAACTGTTCATTATGTTAAATCGTGATCGCTTATTTTAACTAAAATCTTTGGGGAAAATTCCTGTTTCTTATCTTACAAGTTAAACTTTCTCCAAAGCAACTATTCACAGAGATTGTATTTTGGGTTGGCTGTCAAACCCAATGGCCAAATGTGGATCCCATCCTATATTAAATGTTTAAGTCTTGAAAGAATGTGCTTTTTCATCATATCCTTTGCAAACTTTTGTTTGTGTCTTTCTTTTCCTTTTCTTTCTCCATTTCTACCTTTAACTTATACTACTATTTTTGCAAGGAGGCAAATTCTTTTCATGAATAGGACAATGATAAAAATAACTGTACAAATGATTATCCTTCCACAAAAACTTCTAGTATTATATACAGAAGTTTCTGTTTTAGAGGGAAAAAAAGGTCAATGGGAGGAACAGTTTAACTGAATATCAGAAATTAAATTTTCCTCATTCACATATCATCTGCATAAAAATGAGTTTACCATCACTTATGCGAAAACCCACAAGTAGTTTGTTTATTTAATCCAACAGATAATGGTTCTTATGCTTACAGCTTCCTATTCTTTCCTGGCATTTGACCCGTTGTTATCACGTCATTACATAAAAGTAACATGCTAGAATTCACTCTGTCAGGGTGTAAGAGGCTCACTTCTTCCATCTTCTGTATTTCAATAGCTTTTTTTTTTTTTTTATGGTGACACTGGTTAACGATATCCGATGCTTCAGTTGTACATTTTAACAGCAAAGCACATATATACATTTACATTGTGTGTTCACCTCCCATAGTTAACGTGCCTCATTAAGCTGCTCACCAGGCCTGTCACACCGTACAAAGGTGGTTCGCAAAGGCCTCTTCCCTCAGGAGATTTCGATACAACTTTTTCCGTCTCAAGTTGAGACTCACCGACTTTAATCCTGTAAGCACGTGACCTCGCTCTACAAGATACCAAGCCTTGAAATTTGCCTGAACCATCTCTTTATATTCAAATAAAGCCCTGGTCCTTGCCTAGTTCCTTAGCACGGAGCACTTCAGAGCACTTCGCGTCTCTACACAACCTAAACCCCCGCTGTCATCCACGTTAACAACGCACTCGCTTCCCACCTGGAACCCCCTTCCTCCACCGCCAGTCTGAACCAACTATGTTTAAGAGTTTAAACTCTGGAAGCGCACAGATCCCAACTGCTCCCCAAGCTCCAACCCTAAATAATAGTCAGGGATTTGAAGTCACATCAAATCGGCCTCGGCGACAGAACCGAGGTCACACTAACAACCTGGGAGGCACAGTGCAGTATTACGGAAAAGGGCTAACAGGAGGCCTGGCATGCGGTGGACAGTTTAGAGCTTACCAGGCCACTACAAACGCTCTTTTCCCTCCAACAACAGTTCGTCTTAGATTGTCTGTGGAAAGGGATCTGAGAAACACATATTTGCCCAAGTACTTCAGAGAGACTTGTCACTCAGACACTGAGTTCTGCAGAAAACTGGAAGGAAAAGGTGGAAGTGATATGCAGCACAGGTGACCATCCCGGCCGAAGAACACCAAAGGCCGGACGTCTAACTTGCAGCCAACGGGCTTGACTTTTCATCTCCAGAAAAAATGAAATGTCCCAGACAAAACACTTCCATGTTCCAGCATCCAGCTCCTTCTCAAAGGCTGAGGGTTCGGGTGGTCACCTCACACTGAAGTTTGCAGTGGGAAAGCGCGGTCTGGGAACTCAAGCTTCTAATTCAAATTTTCAGCGTTTCATACTTAAATATGAATGGACAAAGAAGGTTTCCCAAAGACTTGGGGAAGGCTCCGACAGGAAAGAGATAATACAAAACAAAGGAAAAGGACACATGACTGCTCCTTTGAAGGAAAAGACTGCTGACAAAGAATATCTGAAAATAACTTTCCTGAGTAAATAGCGCTAAATTATTTTCTAAAATGGGTGTGCACTTCTATTCCCAAGAGAAGAGAACTTTTTCTGATCCACTTCCTTCCTCTCCACCACCACTCGTTGCCAATGAATTTTTTTTTTTTTTAAGCCATTCTGGTACATTTGCTAAATATGTGAATTAGCATTCTACTCATAACTAAAAAAAGTTGATCATTTTTACATGTTTACTAGACACTGAGATATACTTTTTTTTGAAGCACATTAGAAGTTTCCTATTTTCCTACTGCACTGTTTACCTTTTTTCTTAATAATTTCCACTTTGTGGTTATGTGCGTGGCAAATGCCTTTCACCATCCTCCGGCTCTGGCTTGCCTTCTGGCTCTTTAATGGTGTCATGTGATGACGGAATTTAATCCGACGGAATTAAATTACATTTAATTTTCACATGGCAAAACTTATCAGTCCTCCTTCATGGTTAGTGTCTTGTGTCCTGTTTTAA